AGGGGGGTCCAACCTACTACTTCCTGAGAAGATGGTGAATTGAGGTGGGTGAACCTGAGGATACCAAAGGATATGGGCCAGGAGCCCTTTTTCGGAAGGTGAATACCATGTGGATTGGCACAACCTGGAGGAGTTAGAGTTCCTTTGATCAAGATTCTACGAGAGAATGACCGAACTACTGTGTGCTGGTTGGGCTGTTTTGTTAGGTTATGATAGGGATTCCTGATTCCCCCTAGGATATGGCAGTGTTTGCAAGCTTTGCATATCACGGGTGCCTTTCCAAAGGATGGATCCAGGGGTCGCTCCCCAACACAGTGGGAAAGGGACCAGTTCCTGCATTTGAGCGCAAGGACCCAGAACAAAGAAGCAAAAACCATGATCTGTCCCCCCAAAGAAATCAAATGCCTCACATCCGAACTTTGTAGCGGGATTCTTAAACGGGCTGTTCCGGCTGAACACATGTGACGAAAAAACCCGACTGTGGGTCCACCAGGTCCGACTCGTCAGTCGTTCGATAGGTCGTCGTCTACAAACTTCTTCGCTGATGACGGGTTCTTATATCCCAAACGCTCCATGGATACCATATTTGCATACATTGGGGGTGGTTTGGGGGTCAAGATAGTATAATAGGCATATATATATATAGCGTATGGGCATGTGGTCCCCAAATATAATTAAGAGAAACGCACTGTCTGTCATTTCCTGTCTGCATGTTCTACGTGGGGATCTACGAACTTCAAGCAATTTGGAGGTCTATATTATATATATATATATATATGTATGGTCTTACATAACCTTCGCTCCTGGTACCATCAAATCCTTGCTTCAGGAAGGGGTCGACATACTCCGGCGACATGGCACCGCATCGACATACTCACCGGCGAGAGGGGCGCCTGAGAGAACGGAGTCTGAACCAGGGGTATATAGTACGATACGGTACGATGGTAGTGGGTGGGATCGTTGGCTGGTGGGACCTTGGGTTAGGGGCTTTCTTCTCAGAAAGGGTTGCCACCTGACTGGGGGAACTTACACTCTGACTGGGTGGCGCAAACTGCAGAAAGTGCTGGTTGCAGGACAGCTTGTGGCCTCTAATGAACCAGTTCTCCTACACCTAGCTTAGCTTTTGCACACATCACTGTCTTGAACACCTATTTGGCTGCTGCTTTTTCAGTGACATCTTGGTTTTGCTGAATCCCGCATCGCAATGTTCAGTCCCGAATCCTGAGCCAGAACCACGCCACAGATGCCGGAAAACGAGCGAAGATACCAAGAGAGGTTGAACAGCCCTATAGCCTATAGCCCATCCCATATGTACCACTGTCCCAGTTCTGGTCTCTCAACCTCTCTTGGTACGTGTCACACACTGCTCGGAATTGTAGGGCAATTGGGGCCCTGTTCCATCCCTACCTGCACCAACAGCTAGCAACAGCACCCGTCATTCTGATCACTTCCGAGGGCTCAGGTGATTTTTTCGTGGTCTCCAAATAGATAGAAACAGTTTCCAACGTTCCAATACATCCTGTTCTATCTATTTGGGGATCACTATCAGGGTCCCCCAAGTAGATAGGGTGGAAAATGGTGGATGGTTGGAGACACCTGACGTCTGCGATCGCAATAAGCACCTGAGTTCTGCAACAAAGAGCCCTGCCCTCTGCGGCAGGTTCCGAGGATCGGCTTCCCTTAAGACCAGGCCTCCGAGCTGCAACCGGTCAAGCAGAAACCCACCCGGTCTGGTTGAAACATCCAACATCGGCGTTCCGATCTCCAAGTCATGATCTCCAACCCCTCATAAGCCCTCCACACGACCGCCAAACACTGCCATCGGATTTTGGTTAAATATTGTTAAATCCATGTTAAATCTACATGGACCAATGGACCCCTCAAACCGTAGGGTCGTACCGAACCTCAGGTTTGGTACGACCAGACCCTCCTGGCACCTACATACCAGGGTCTCCAATCACGTACCTGAGAAGGTACGACTGGATCCCTAGGGACAGCAACCCAATGGAGGGACCAGTCGGACACCGGGCACCGGACAATGAGTCTCTGTGAGGAAGCTGAGCTTGACGTGAGTTTGTAGACTACATGCGATGAGAAAACTGCTTAGCAGTCACCAGGATCTTCCGAATGCCGCACCACAGGATCATCGGTTGACCGTCTGTCCCGACGCCGCTGTCCCGACGGGATTCCGTCTCAACGGGTTCTGCCGGGTGGACGGTGCCGTCTCCAGGGCCTTCTTGAGCCTGGGTGGGCGCGTGCGGGAGCCGGAGGTCTGGGCATCCGATCTGCACCGAAGGTTGAACTCAGATGGTTTCACGAAGTGCTCAGATGGTTTCATGGTTTCATGAGTTTGACTCGTGCATGGTTGATCTCAGATGGTTTGACTCGTGGTTTTTTCCTCGTTTTCCATCCACATTTGCACCATCTGAGTGATCTCTCGGTCACGGGGCTCAGGAGTCCAAGAATGGGGGGTCCCCTAACCAATGAATGCAAATCATCGAGGAAGGATGCATTGAGCACCTCTTTTAAAGACAACGACTCTGAGTAACCAGAAGCAACGTTTCTGGACATTAGTGGTGCAATGTGGAAATGTTGGAGAGGTTGTGATTGCCACAGTTAGATTTTAGACTCCGCCAGTTGGTTGACGCTTTCATCCCAGTCCATCGTTTTTCCGGCCACCCTCCATTTATCTGTCACCAGTGGGGAAAACGGCCGCATACACAGTCGAACCTCAGAAACATGGTCCTGCTAGTTCTAACGTGAGAAGGGCCAAACCAAAGGCAAATCGTCTACCAATCAATCTGAAGTACGGTTGATCCTGGGCATAGCTCCCCTCTTGATCATTCCGATTCACAGAGTACAGAGCCGAATCCTGTCATCATCTCCATTCTGAAAGACCCATTCGACCTCCCGAACTGCGACAGTTCCTGTAGGCCCCCAACTGCGCCACTTCCTGTCGTAAGGAGCGAATTTCCTGCTGCTTGTTGAGCAACCTGGGAGGATGTTCTCGATTCCCACACAGCGGACTGGCAGGTCCGTACCATTGGGAAGGTCAGGATCCGGGGCCCACATGAGCAAACTGGTCTTGACTCAAGTAGAGTTAACTGCATGCTCTATTTGCTTGGTCCAACATCGGTATTCGCTGGTGAAGATCGGGCCCCAACATAAACGAGATACTGAGATACTGAAGACACTCTGAACGAGATACTGTGGCATAACCACCTACTAAACAACAGTAATTAGTCTTGAATGTGACAAAATAGGGCCCCCACATAGAATGTTAGGGCCCCCACATAGTAGACAAAGGGTATTTGGGTAAGTTTAGTATGGTTTAGTAACAAATCAATGCCACTGCGAAGCTGAACATGGACCTTTCATCCACCATGTTCCTCGGCTTTTCCGGGTCCGAACTCACAGGGCGTCGCAGTCTCTGGGGCGTATCGCGATGCCCGGGACGAAGTGCTCCAGTTGGGAACTCCCGTCGACATGGGAACTCTCAGAGGGGGCTCTCCTTGTTGAAGAAAGGCGGAGATGTTTTTTTTGATGAGAAATGCCTCCTAGATTGCAAGTATGGGGGCACTACTCATGCAATCTTGGAAGAGTCCCATACTCCATCATACTCCCAATTAGTGCAACACGTCGCAAATGCCTTGGTGTGCCTACCAGCACTAGGGGTGTCACCAACGAACCAATCGAAAAGACTCTTAGTGAACTCAAGTGTGGGACTCGATTTGGATACCATTGATTTCAGGTGCGCCAGGTGCGAAGCGTCTAAAAGCGCTCAACCTCTTTCTGCTATAAGCGTCTCTCTCAGTCTGTGCTGGGCTCTCCAAGCCTCGCTGCACCGTTTCTGCCGTTGGATGACTGCAGCGTCCACAGTAAATGGCTCTCGGACAGTTCTCAGTCGAAGTTCCTTTCGCATCATCTGCCACCATGATCAGTTCATGTATTCTTGCCCGTTGGCGGCCTTGGGGAAAACACGAAGAATTTTACGGATCTGGTCAGCACAAAGGTTCACTACGCAGTCTTCGATTGTGCACGTCAGATGCATCGGTACCAAGGAATCCCTGGAAAGATCCGAAAGGAGGGCCCTTCCGACGGCGGCGAGGGCCAGTGCTAACCGAGCAGGCCGATCCTGTGATAAATATATATATATATATAGCCCTGGTTCTTCAAAGTGACCGTACTTGATAACCTGGTTTGAGGTCACTTGAGCCTCCTAAGGGTCACTTAGGAACCTTCAAAAGGTCACTTTGAAGAAGCTGGGCAAACATATTTGATTGGATGTCTTGTTGAATGCTTCTTGGACGGGGAATGCTGGTCGCACACAGTACAACATGTCAACCTTTACAAGCTTTGAGACAAACGCAGGCTTGCTTGACCTTACAACTCAACAAAGGTATCTATACGGGAAATCTCCCAACATGGTCCACATTCGTGCCAAATCTCCGAGAATGTAACACACTGCAACTCTAGACTCTAAACTCTGCTCCCTTCGAGCAGTTGTCCTAGGGAGGATCCGAAAAAGCTCCGTCAAGGAAGGGCACTGCCAGGTTCCAACCGCACCAGGCAAAGGTAAAGGAGTTCAATGATGTTGAATCATTGGATGCAACCTTGCTGGAGCAGCTTTGCTGGGTAACTTCCAAGCCTTTGAGCTTCATCATGTCCTCCTTTTGAACGTCTCAAATCACGGCGTGCACAGCGCATGAACGAGCTTCAGAGTAGATGGCACTTCCCCTCTTCTCAGTTCAACCCCTTGGATCGGATAGTGATAGTGATACATAAACCACATTCACAGGTCTTTTGTTTAACCTCAGGTCTTTTGCTGAGGGATATTAGAGTGTTTCATGTTTAGATCGAACATCAGTGACCATGCCATACTGCCGAAAGTTCGGAAGTCCCTCACAGTCTAACGCATTGGGCATGTCTTTAAAAGTCTTTCTGCTGGAGGGTCCGCAGTCCCCACTCACTCTCCATGCCACGCCATAATAGCATTAAATGGCCATGTGATGAACATGGCGTGTCGCGGCCGCGGCGTCGCCGTTGACGAGGCAATTTCGACTCACGAGGCAGGGGGTTCTGTAGGCCCGGGGTGCTGGACTCCGGACCCCCTCGGATGTGGCCTGGAAGAACAAAAGAGGTTACACAAGTTACACCCTTGAAGATTAACATGGAACCTGAAAACCACTGGGTTGTAGAGGAGAATACTCTTCCACAGGTCCATTTTCAGGTTCCATGTGGGTCTCTTCCCGGGTGTGTAACCTTGTCTCTTCCATTTGATTGGGGAAACTTATCCCCTCAAAGATCTCAAAGGGTCGGCGGTCTTCCAGGTTTCTCCCACTGACTGACTGTAGCATTCCATCATCAGACATGGTCGGTCATGATCCTTCCCAGGTGCCCAGTCACTTTGCCGAACCAGCCCGCAGGCGGGCGCGAGGAAGTCAGCCCAATACACGCAGGCTTCCGCGCCAGCAATCTATATAACCCCACAATGTCTGGGTTCAAGAATGATCTCCCATCAAACATTCTTCGGACAGGGGTGGATTGTGAGATTGTGCTTGTGGTGGATGATTTTGATCGACATTGCCTATCACCCAAGTGAGGAAAATCAGCCAAAACCATCCAAAACCCACACATGGCCATCCCCAATACTCCGCTTAAGCCAGATGCTCAAGGAGCCGAGTGTACAAACACATAAATTACAATATCTTGCATTTTGCTCAAGGAACCTGGAAAAATAACACAAAAAAATTGTACAGAATGGAATTATTTACATGATTTTGCCCATGAAAATACAAGACAATCTTAAGCAAACCCAGGACTTAAAGGGCAGCACTCCTTCTCCGGACCCCCGTTGCCAGTCTTCAGGTGTCTCATTCGGAACCACTTTTGGAACTTCTGTATGGAGG